CAGATTGAAACTGTCCTTACTGGAAATGCACTGGATACATAGCTGCAGTTCATCTGCTGCAGGACCATACAGAAATGTTTTGTCTCTATTTCAGGTTTGAAAAAATGCCCATCCCAAAGCCCATGATATCAGCAAAGAGAAATTGATTTCAATAAGCTTCAGATCAAGGCTTAAGGGCTGATGCTGCCTAAGCACATTAATAAACTTTAAGCTTGGCTTTCAGCCTGATGCCTCCAATGGGACTGAGAAGTTCATCAAGTTTTGCCCTAATGACTGGCTAACATTCTCCAAAGTCCTCACATCAATGTATTTATAAATTTGGAGCAAAATTTTGAAAGCAAATAGTTGTGTGTTTTGTAGTGTTTTCACGCTTTGCAGTGGGGTAAGTGTAGTTGGAGATCTAGATTCTGGCATCCCAGATGTTACTGGACAGTACGTAACTCCATGGGCAATCTTACCAAATTCAGGTATATGACTATTGGGGAACTAACATGTTTTCTCTCTGAACTTAGTTCTCATTTAATTTTTTGTCCTTAGGAATAAATATTAGGTTGTTAATTAAAGCGTATTTTCATCTCAAAATTTTTCTGTCTGAGGTATTTTAAATACTATTAACCTGAAACTTCACAGGGCTGGTTAGAAACTTTTTTACAAGAGATCTTCTATTAAAACAAATAATTGAAATCAAAACATTTTATGAAATTCTAACAGTTTCTATAAATCTTATCAGATGAGACTCCAGAAGGGAATCTTGGATCCAGCGGGAAATTTCTTCGTGACAAACATAAAGGAAAGGAAAAGAAAAAGATGACCCAAATAAACCAGGTCAATCACTTGATATGAGAGAAATGCCCATTCAAATCCTTTCTCTTGATGCCTCAGAAAATAACTTGACCCAGAATATTTGCATCTCAAATAAGCATGTGTCTATCTCCTTTTCTTTCAGATTTTACAAAGACGTCAAAAAGTCATGTTTTCATCGCAGTGCAGAAAGGTTGGAAACCTTAGCATCTCAACAAGGTTGGAAAAATCATTTCACGCTCAGTTCAATTGAGAACTCTAAGTTCCAGGTAAAACCAGGGTGAACAGGGGGTAGGCACTGCACTGGGATTTATGAAATGCCTGCCAAGTAGCCTGCTTTTAAGGCACACCAGAGAATAGCATTGCTTGCTAAGAAGTCTTAATCAGCACCGTGCATTTTTAAAAATTTGCTCAAAGGCTTATGTTTTTAAAATGACCCTTCCACCTACTCTATTAATTACAAACTCCAATATAAAACTGACTTTTCTATGGCCTCAGTGTGAAAGCTGCAGATTGGGAGCTTACCTTATTTCAGACCCAGGCATAAATTAAACAGCACGCGCTCAAGTGCACATCATTTTAAAAACGTGCTCTATAAAATGTCTAGCACTTAGAGTTTATAATGCATACAAGAGGACCATCTAAAGATGGAGATGAAACACGTTGCAGGGGTTTTGCTTAAAAGAGATGCAAAAGATTTAGGGAATAGTATCCATTTCAAAACTATGCTTCTTGACTGCTGCAAGATGTTGAATGCTACATGCCAAAGTTTCCAAAATTAACAGGTGCCTTTGGATACCCCACCTGGAGCATCTCAAGACGCTGATTTTCAGAAATTCTTTAACAATGTGACTCATTTTTGGCAAGAAAGACAGGTAGACGGAATTATAAATGATCCCCCAAAATACCTTGGCCTCAATTTCCTTCTGGATATTGACATTCAGCCAAAAAACATTTCTCAGCAAAAAAACCCAAACCAAAACCCAAAAAAACCATGACCAACATTTCTGATGCAACTAAGACTCATCTGGTGAAAGGTTTCTCAGGTCCCAAATGGAATTTCTGAAACACATTTCAGAAACAAAGAGAGAGGAAGGGGAAGTCTCAAAGACGATGAGACATTTTGTTCTGCAGAGCAGGAAACGAGCTTTTTCTGCTTCAGTTTCTGTTCCACTCCACTCACTAGTTCTCATGCAAAAGCTCAGTGTTTTAATCTTGGAGAAATGACCTCAGCAGAACCAACAGAAAACTTAAAGTAAGGAGAAAACGTCAGCATATGGTAAAGCAGCTGAGAACTAAGAAAGGAAAAGACCCTTTATAATATGGTCCAATAGGTGACACATCCTAAGTTCTACCTCTCTTCCTGCCCTTCCCTGAAATCTCAACTGTTCTATAGGGTAATGCTATCTTTTTACACAGTTCTTATTCAGCAACTTGTCCATATAATGCTAAGTTTTGTATTTTAGTCTACCGCAATTCCAAGACAGCAACTTCCTATACAAACTACGTGGAGTGGCTACGTGATGCTCCAGAGTGCTCTTTGCTGTGGAGATTACACAATTAAGTTTATACTAATGGTAGTCCAACACAGATTCAGGAGTAACACCATAACTTTAGCTTCTGGAACTGAAGACTCCTAGAATGTATTTTCAGGAGTGATAGTTTCACGAAATGATCCTTGAAGTTGATGGAGAACTCTTGCTCATTTTAATTGATTTTGCATTGGTCTTAAATGAAAGACCTCCACGGTCATTCAACAGGTAGAAGGAAGAGCCTTTTAGTGCCTGGGAGCTGAAAACCTTTCTAAAATCAGAGAGTAATGACATGGTTAACGCTGGGTTTGTGATATGCAATATTCAAAAAGGGGATTATAATCCAGAAAAAGAAGAATTTATTCCCATTGGAAAGCAATGAATATAGTAATGCTATGATGAAAAACATTATGGCCTGCTCAATGGCAGGAAATATTCATTTTCTGGTTAAAGAACAGATAACTGTCATGGAAAACATGCATTAGGTAGAGCTAATAAATCTACCCATTAGAGATGATAGACTAAAGTACTGAATTTGCTGTGCTAGCAAGTGGTGGCACAGGGATATTGCTCCTGCGAGATGCTGTTGCCACTCTTGCTGAAAAAACAATTAAGAGTCATCTCCTTCACAGGAACACCCTGGCCTCCTCTCCTTTCGGGACAGCTGTGGGGCTGAAATGTGCCCTTGCCTTCTCCCCACAGGGCAGTGCAGCCAGCCTAGGGATACAGCTAATTGTGCAAGAACACTCACTGAAAACCAGCTTTAAACTTCACCTAACCCTGCTGTAGAGAGGTATATTCCTCACACTGCCAGGCTTTGCCCCACAACCAGCATATCCTGCTCTCTCTGGAGACTGTGCTCCTCATGTTCTTGCCCTCGCCTCGTGGAAGTACAGAAGGAAGGGAGCAGACATCTGTCAACACAATCCTGCACCTTGAAGCAGATTTAGCACCGCTGGCAACCCGAAGAGTAAGTACCATGAGCAGAAATAAATCAGGCCACAATCTCAAGATGAAAAACTATCCCCAGATCAGGCCTGACAAGATCCACATTGTATTTTACTTACAAGCAAAGAGGAGATACAAAACAACACAAATTTGCATTGCGATATTACTTCGTAAACTGCAGTCTCACCCCCTATAGAACTAACTGCAAATTCCTTGCATTTCTTGTCTCGCTTTCTGATCTGATCTTTAAAATGATGCAAGGCGAAGGGGAGGTGGGAGGGGGTGCCTCTAAGCCACATCATGTGCGTTATGGAAACAAGCCAAGCAGCTACTTAGGCAACCATTAGGTCGGGAAACAATCGCCTCCATCATTCCCAACACGTGTGTCAACATAATTCCATGCTCTCTTTGTCATGCAAAAAGTCTTGGCAAAGTGACCGGATACACCCAGAAAGCAGGAGCAAACTAAGCTCATTATGTTAACCGGAGATCCCACAGCATCCTCCAGTGCCATAGAAGGAGACTTCCCATATTTTGCAGTGTAGGAAAGGAAACGCGCTGCGCTCAAAAGGGCCCAAGCCAAGCCTGACTTCAGAAGTGTATAAGAAAAATTCACAATTGGGTTTTCGTGGAAGGGGATCCCTCGTCTGACAAGCACAAGAGGCTGCGTCAGGCAGTGTGATAACAGGCACTGCAGAAGGTATGACACTTCGCGTAACTCCAGAGACTTCCCTCTCCTGTGTGCTCGCTGGAAGCCTTCCAGCCATGCTAATATGGCTCCGCAAAGAGAAACTACTGCCAATCGGGAGTATCAGCTTCTCTAACTCTTTGTTGTTGTCATTGGTAACTCTGGACTTTGTTTTCCTTTTAAAGGAAGATTCAATGCATTTTACAACCATTAAACATCTTTTCTTCTCTCCATCTATACTTGTAACTTTTACTAACAGCAAAAGGTTTGTGCGCGTCAGAACGGCTGGCAATACTACTCTAATGGCATCTTTGCATGGTCACGTACAGGAGGAAGGTCCTCCAATCTATCTGAAAATGCTGAAATTAAAGATAAGCAGTTGGGGTTTTCCCTAACAATTTTTGCTGCATCTTTCAATTCCAGATTCAGTGTAGTGGGAGGAAAGTCCTAATGCCGCTGGGTATTTGCAAGCCCTTTGCAACTCAGCTGCTTCACCTCCATTCTGCCACAGGTAACATACATTTTTCAACCCATTTTGCCTCTTGAATGCTTGCAAGTCCAATCTTGGTTTTAGTAACGCATTCAGCAAAACTTCAGCAATCCATGTTCACAAAGGCCAACAATGGCTAAAAATGAGGATGGACAAGAATAGTAAAAGCTTCTCCTACATGCTGTTGACATCTCCTCTAATGAAAGCCCAGAATTTCTACTGATTGTTGAGTTTAAGCCTGTATCAGTCACACTACATGCTTTGTTCCTTAAGATGCCATTTTTCTGGCAGATCCTGGTACCACCCAAACACTCAAGAATCAAGAGCAGAGTGCACTGTTCAAATGAGCAAATGTGGAAAAGCCCTTCCCCCAGCATTATCATTGGAGTGGGAATAAGCATCTGGTTCTGACTTTGACTTCTTCGTGCTCCATCACTCTGGACAAATTTACACTATACAGCCTTCTTAAAATGTACACCAAATATTGCAGAAGATTCATTAGCAAGTCAAATAAAACAAGAAAGTAAAATAGTGAACATACCTGAATAAGAGAAACGTTGTGTAGACTAAGTCTGAAGAGGTAGTTCCTGCATGAGCAAGCAGAAAAATTACAAAATGTTAGTCTACCAAAGGAGGAAGGGAAAAGTTATAAAAGCAAGTCATAGATGTTGGACATTCATTTCAACAAACAAACAGGTTTTCTTGGACTTCTCTCCACAGAATGCAAAAACAGTTAAATGCTCTTTATTCATTAGTGTCTTAGTGAACCTCGAAACAACAAAGTTCTGAGCAGGTTTGAAGTAACACATTCCAGAACCCATAATGAAGAACCACAATGAAATCCCAACAACACAGGGACTGTTTGCAAACCTTCAAAGGGCTTTGGTTGAAGTCCTGTATGGGCTGCGCTCATGTTTTTCTCTCCTTTCTGAGAAAACTGGGCTTGGACAGAAGCCAGCTGGAGCAAAGCTGACTCCGTACTATGCTTCCCGCAAGCCTGCCCTTGTGGGCACTCCCATTCAGAACTTTGTGGAAAAGGAGAAGAGGACTGATGCTTCTCAGCAAGAACCTCTCTGCACAGAAAACTAGCAAGGAAATCAAGGCAGTGACTGCAGATCCTCCTGTCATTGTATCTCCACAGGCAAAGTGAGGAAATTCCTGACAGAAGTCACGGTAGCATGAGATACCACACATCAGCTGAGCTCCTGTAAGCTTCCTCCTGCATGTTCGTATCCCATCACAAATAGGAGAGAATACACATTTGCATAAACATCTATGGATGAGGCTTAGTTAACGGGATTTATCTCACATTTTTGCTTACTAAGACTATGCAGTTACCAGGAATCAGCTGACATACTAAGCCATACGGACTTGATTGTGTGCTTGAGGGTTTTGGCCACGTCTAACTTCATATTTTTGCATCCCATCTGTCAGGGAATCTGAAGATCTGTGATCCTTTTCCAACATTCCTGTCACTACAGTCTCCCAAAGAAGACACATTTATATTATACCAGGTGAACTACATTTTTGGAGGTGGCTCTATTTAAATAGTGGAAAGTGCAGCTTTGATGATAAAGCTTCATCTGCTCTACAAGTTCCAGTATACAGACATTCTCCTACCTAGTAAAAATGCACGTTCCAGCCTTAGGTCAGTGAAATCAAAAGAAATCATTGGAAAGCTCCTATAGTGATGAAAAGGTTCTAAGGACTCTTTTGAAGGACCTTGGTAAGGGTCTGTAGTCAGCAGCACACTCTGCCCAAGCAAAGAAACTAATTCAAACTTTGACATACAAGAGATTCATACTGGGTCACAATGACCACTACACGGCTTGAGCAATTTTCCCTTCTGTTATCTCTCACTTCTGTATCACCTAAGTCATAACTATAGAGTTGCCTGTATACTTTATTCCAGTTCTACAAATAAATCAAAAAGTCTCAACTGCTGCTGACCATCAATAAAGAAGGATGGGAACAAGGATGATAGGGAACTTGGGAAGTCAAACTCCTGGTACTGAACCTTCAGTTGATGTAGCTCTGATTTGCTCCAGTTTGCACCATCCTATTCTAAATGGGGACTGGTTACGTGGAAAAGAAGGAGACCCATTAACAATATCTTAACAAAATACATCAGGAATTATTATACCTCCTGTAAGTATGCAGAGAAGTACACACACATAAAAAATCTCCATCATCTCTCCTGGTTGTATCACTGGAGATCCAGGAGGTTTTTTGTACAGTCTGAAACCCTATTCTGTCTCAAGGGTCTGCATGCTTTACCAAGTAATTTGTTATTAACTCTTTAGTACCAGCTACAGACTTAAATATTATGTTCTGCAGGTGCACGCAACAGAGCAGAGGCACCAAGCTTACCTACAGCTAAAATTTCAAAATAGAAATTCTCATCCAGTGACTGATCTGACAGCTCCCTTAGAAAAGCACGTGCTACTCTCACCAAAATATTAATGCAATTCCAGGACATGAGATATCATGGAATAAGCCTTCTCCTGGAAAAGTTAAGTATGTCACTGGCCTCCAGTCTTACAGCACCCTAAGGAGAAAGTTCTCATAACTAGGGACTTGAAGTTGCCATCCTGTTGTTAAGCATGCTATTTAAATGCATTGATTTTGGAAGTCTTATAATGTAGATTTCAGCTCCTTGTTTTAGCCTTGTAAAAAGCTGGACAGTTTGACTGAGTAATAAATTTTAATATTAGGTTTTTTTCCCTGATAGCACTGCAGAGCAAATTCAACCAAAATATCTTTAATGGAAGAGACGTATCCAAAGGACACAATTTTCATTGCACTCAACCAAAACAGATGCAGACAGGAATAGTGTCCATTTAAATAAAGCCAGTCTCTGTCCTCTCAGTGACTTCTGTGTAGCACCTGGGCAAAGCATTAGCGGTGAGATCACTTGGGTGGCTGAGACCTAAACCAGGCAGGAATGTATTATTAATGTGAATAGCACAATGATCTTCCAAAGGCTTCATACCAACCTCAGCTCTCTAAGTCTGACCTTGTGGCCTTCTTACAGAAAGGAGGGTTTCCCTACATTTTTCATCAGCTTGCTTCACCCGGTGCCTGCACAGCCACTGGCAGTTCATTTTGTTTGTTTGATCCTTCTCACATCTCATCAGCAGCAATACGAACACCAGTAGGCAGGCCAGGCTATCAGAGACACCTCCAGACTCCAGTTGACCTGCCCGGCTAGAACTGACTAATTCTTAATTGATAATACGCTCTTTTAATCATACTTGTTCTGTAAAGCTATACCAGGAGTAAAAAGCCAAGGGGAAAGATCTGCTGAATAAGACAGTGCCATTTTTATGAATTGCATTTTAACTGCAATTTCAGTCCAAGAATGAGCAAGGTCTCTGAATGACAGGCATGGTTTATTGTACCTAGAATTGCCCCATTTGTGTCCTTTTTTCTGCTTATGTTTGAAGTTATGTCTGTTTAATACCTTGCTGAACTATAATTTAAAGCAACTGAAAGAGTAGGACTAAGAAATATATGAGAACATTGAGATCTCTGCATGAATGGATGAGGTGCCTTCTTGGTCTCTTTTTTTCTTTTTTTTTTTCCTCCCATTTTGTCCTGCAAGTGAATGTCGGGTAATTCTCTTCTCAAATTAAGCCCATCTGGACTGGGCCAGAAGAGAGATTGCCTGGTGCAACCGGCTATTCTAACTACCTCCTTCTCCTGTGTAAAAAGCTGGTGCACAAATTTGGAGTCATAAGAAACCTCCTTACTCACTTCCTATCCTAAAAGGTCACACAATTTCACTCCATGGTATTAAAACACAAGCTCTGTTTCATCCCCGAGTTGGCTGCATTTCAGCCATCTCCAGAGCAATTGACTACACTCCTCTAAGTACTCTGGGACAAATGGTATTATACACATTAAAAGGTGCCTGAAACTACTAATTATTATTACTATTAACCTTATTATTCATGAACATCAGTGCATTTCTGAAAACGCCCATGTTAAACAGTAATACCCTGAAGTCTCAGCCAAGACTGTGGTTTTGTTGCGTTAAGACACAGAGTGGGTTGGTGGTGGTTCCTCTGGAGACTGATTCACAGCAGATGCCTCTTTAAACAACCTGAGGGTGGATCCTCTCTCTGTCACCTCTGACTGATGTTATCCCCCAGCTCAGATATATGAAGTCAGCTGCTGCAAAGACCCTTCTACTCTATGCAACCTAGTCTTGAAGAATTTGCTATCTAAATATATGCAGAACAGTGAAAGAGAGACATTGTTCTCATTTAAATTTAAAACACAGATTGAGCAACTTAGCCACAGAGCGTATCTGCAGCACAGCCAAAAGCTGATCTCCTGGTCTATTAGTCTATGCCCTGGTTAGGAGAATAACTTGCCCCCAGAGTTGGGGCACAGCATGTAAACCTGTGCTGATGTGCCATTTACACTCATGGAAATTAAGTAGATGTTGAATTGCTTTCCCAAACTGGGCCCTCCATGCTAGTCTGGGTATGAACCCAGCCAAGCTGCAGTGTAAATCCTGTAGATGAAAGTATTTGTTAATTGGCTTCATAATTTGTGTTTGGCTGCCTTGTAAAATGATTAAGTGCTCACCGTGCCTGGTACCACAAAGCATACGTACCAGAACAGCAGGAGAGCAGCTGAGATGTGTTTCAAGAAAGGATGGAAGAATATATCCAGTCATATCTGCTTGCCATGACATTCCCAAGTAAAAGCTGCTTATTAAGTGTTTATTTCATACTGCCAAGCGCACCTTGGATGAACTTTGTAACGTGATGCCCATGCACTTGTTCACACATTGCCTGGCCTTGAAACAATTTACAGTGAAGGGAAAGTACTTTGTCTACGATGCCACTGAGCAACAGAGCTACAAGATAAATTAAGCCTTTCCAATGGGAAGCCACATAACAAGAGTGCTTGAATAATAGCAGAGACCCTTCCTCTTAAGGGTTCTGAAATTATAAGGGTTGCAACATGCTTCAAACACTCGTTCAGGACTCTTTTTCAGTGCCTCTTTCAGGCACTACATCTGTCAGCACTGTGCTGGCTGATTAAAAGGTGCTTCCTTCTAATTAAAAGAGCGCACGCTTCAGTTCTGCTGTGGTAGATCAGGAGGAACATCCCTGCAGTTAACGGACTGAACAGGTGTGAATGAAAGGCTACTCTAGCTTCAGATTCTTTTTTCTATTTAAATGAGCACGGTTTGTCCACATTCCTCAACCCTAGCTCCCTCCACACACACCAAGCAGGTAAGATAACTTTGTGTTTCAAAATAACCCCTTCTAGCAAATCGGGAGCTATGAGATCCCTGATGCTGACTCCCACCAGAACCTCTCAGGACTTTGACACACACACAGTGACCAATAATATTGGTGGTCAGTATCACTACAAGACACGTACACCTACTCACATGTTGCTACTTGCCTGCACCTTATAGTAGAGGTGAGAAGCTCACCCCTCCCTCCTCACAGGGCAGGCCATCTCAAGCCCCCTCTCAAGCTGCAAGTACAAACAAGCCAACAGAAGCTGATAATAATATTTAATCATTCTAAAAAAGAAACATGTTTAGGGAAAGCTGAGGAGA